AACATCACATTTTTGCACACAAATCATTGTATTCTGAAAAGTTAAGATTGTTACTAGTTAAACTAGTAGAATACATTTGTCTGGAAGGTAAGTGGATCGTAATGAAGGGGTAAAATTACTTAAGGTTGAACTCTAATCGGTGTGAACAGCAAACATACTGCATTTATATACTTACGAGACTGCTACCTCTTGCTCTCACTTTGACCCCCTGTTCATTTTCTTACATGACCAACACAACACAACTTTAGCTAAATGCAAATAGCTGACTAAGTGATTAAAATATTAGCAGAGTTGCATGTTGGGAAAGATGCTTGTTGAAATGTTATAGCATGAGAAAAGAACACAACATTATAAGCAATCACAAAATGAATGGGAGAGATTGCAGAATGTTTACTGCTGCAAAGCTGCTTTTTATAATTTTCAGATATAGAGATGACAAAAGTAAAGGAATTTATCTGAGTTAAAGAAAGACACTTGAACAATGAAGATGCTTGAACAATGGTGTAGTTTTATTTCAAATTATTTAAAAAGTGGTGCCATTTTTCAATATACTAATCATTTTTAACATTTAGTCATGTTTGGCAAAAAAGAACATAAATGAAGCTCCACTCTCAATGAATGGTTGACGACTATGAATCACAGAACAGTGTGATCTGAAAAGTTTAATAAAAATAAATCAATATTACATCTCTATTTTTGGAAGGGTTCAGTATTATTGTGTTGTGAGCTTTCTGGTACAATCAATGCCAAAATTTCAGACAGTGGACATGACAGGAAGTCGTGGATTCATGTGCAGACATTTATTTAAAAACACGATGCATGCAATATCAAAGACACAGCCCAAAGTGTAATCAGAAAACAGGCTGTAGCCAGAACACAAGTATCTGTTAATAAAAAGCAAGAAAACGAGAGTCGACATAATAGTCCAAAATCATCCACACAAGCTCAGGCAAGATAATCACTATGACAGTCATACTGGCAAAACAGCAAGACTTTGCGAAGTTTGAGTGAGCATTGAGTTCCTAAATAGAGCAGGTGCAAGTAATTAGTGGAGAAAGATTTCTAGTGTGCTAGAATTCTAGTGAAGGTGACCTCTGGCAAACAGGAGATGTTTTAGAGTGAATAGCAGCATGCTACTACTGATTTGTGAATCAAATAAGCCTGTACTTAAGGCCATATCCAGACTTTTTTGTACAGAATGGAAGTAATGGAACATTAGTTTTGTTGAAAACTCAAATTTAGAGTGATCAAATTAAGAGAAAATGCAGTTTAAAATTAGATTTTTCCTAATCGTACCTACATGTCTCATGAAATTTAACAATATGTTTATTTTCACTGTTACAATATGCTAGTAATTCAATCCGCAATGTATCCTTACAATTTACTAGCATTATACTGTATAACCACTCACTATCAAGCAACCTTGTCATTTATTGACATGTACTAGGAAAATATAGCTATGATCTGCTACAGATCTTAATTTCAATAAAATGTAACAATTGACAGCAACCGAAATTCTATGTTAAGCCAGTTTTAGACTGTGCAAGGACAGTGGTCTTTTAAGAAATTTACTTGTTACAAGATGATCCCAATAAAATCTTGGCTGAATTCTATAACAGACTATGCGATAACATGAGTTCTCCATGTTAGTTTATAAAGTGAAGATTCGTTAACAATCGACTTGCGATTAAAGAAAATTGCTCTGCTTACGTCATCAATTAGTGTGATCTGGGCTCGTGCAGAAAATGGGGGTCACATAGACCCAGTGAGCTTGAGATAATAACAATATTTTTTCTGTCCTTTAACATGTTTCTCTTACATTTCACATTTGCCGCTATCGTACTTTTGTAGCTGTAATTCTGATGGTGGCTCTTAATCAAGTGTCATAACAGTGGTCTTAAATTTAGAGATTTAGACAATGGCAGAAATTTGTCGTCAGCTGTCTTTTGTCTTCAGCTGACCACCAGTCTCAACTCATGACAAAGAATTTTTTTACAATTTTTTTACATGTGCAGTTTTTGTCTGTGACAGCAAAATTGGGGCAAACACTCTAGCAAGTGAAAACAAGAGGCTGTTTTGATATGGCTGGTAGAAGGATACAATTCCCTCCTGACTCCTGACCCCAAATGTATGCCTATGTGATCAGACAAATCATCTTTGCACTAAAATAAATATTATGTCTGCACAATTTTTTCCAGACTGGCAAAACTCAAAGTATTTCCTATTGATTTTGTGTACTGTTTTTTAAAACCGAAAGAATATTTGAACAACTTTTATGTATACTATATAAAACTGAAAAAAAAACATCAGGGCAGTTCATTTTGTCGTGGAAACAAAATCATTTAATTTAAGATTTATTTATCTGTGTGCGTGTGTGTGTCCATTTCTGTGTGTGTATGCATGTGTCTGGAAGTATTTGGACAATGATGGAGTTTTTGTGATTTTGCCTTTATACACCACCACAATGGATTTGAAATAAAACAATCAAGATGTAATCAAAGTGTAGACTTTCAGCTTTATTTTAAGAGGTTCCACAAAATATGGCATTTAACATTTAGGAATTCCAGCCATTTTAAGCAAAGTAATTCCATTTTCAGGGGCTCAAAGGTATTTCGACAAAGTGACATAATTGTAAATATAACCATAATTTTAATACTTGGATGAAAATCCTTTGCAGTCAATGACTGCCTGAAGTCTGGAGCCCATGGACATCACCAAGTTTCCACTGAGTTTCCTCCCTGGAGATGCTTTGCCAGGCCTTCACTGCAGCCACCTTCAGTTGCTGCTTGTTTGTGGGTCTTTCTGCCTTCAGTCTTGTCTTCAGTAAGTGAAAAGCAGCTCTATTGGGTTGAGATCAGGTGACTGACTTGGCCATTGAAGAATATTCCATTTCTTTGCCTTCAAAAAGTGTTGAGTTGCTTTCGCAGTATGTTTAGGGTCATTATCCACCTGCACTGTGAAGCGGCGTCCTATCAGTTTTGTAGCATTTGGCTGAATGTGAGCAGAGAGTAGAGCCCTGTACACCTCAGAATTCATCTTGCTACTTCTGTCAGCAGTCACATCATCAATAAACACCAGTGAGCCCGTTCCATTGGCAGCCATACATGCCCATGTCATAACACTTCCTCCACCATGTTTGACACATGATGTGGTATACTGTTCCTTTCTTTCACCATACTTTTCTTTTCCCATCATTCTGGTACAAGTTAATCTTGGTTTCATCAGTCCAAAGAATCTTATTCCAGAACATGGGAGGCTTTTTTAGATGTTTTCTGGCAAAGTCTAATCTGGCTTTCCTGTTCTTGAATGTTACCAGTGGTTTGCACCTTGTTGTAAACCCTCTGTATTTACATTCATGAAGGCGTCTCTTGATTGTAGATTCTGACAATGTTACGCCTTCCTTTTCCAGAGTATTCTTGACTTCTGCTGATGTTGTGAAGGGGTTTTTCTTCACCAAGGAAAGGATTCTGCGATCATCCACTTTAGTTGTCTTCCGTGGTCTTCCAGGCCTTTTGGTGTTGCTGAGCTCATCAGTGCTTTCTTTCTTTTTAAGAATGTACCAAATTGTTGATTTGGCCACTCTTAAAGTTTTTTCTATCTCTCTGATAGGTCTCTTTTGTTTTTTCATCCTAATGATGGCCTCCTTCACTTGCATTGAGATCTCCTTGGACTTCATATTGGTAGCTCCAGTCGAACAGCTGCCAAATGCCAACTCAATACCTGATATCAACTCCAGACCTTTTATCTGCTTCATTTGTAATGAAGGAATGGACCGCACCTGGTCAATTAACTTCTTGTCAGTCAATTGTCCAAATACCTTTGAGCCCCTGAAAATGAAAATACTTTGCTTAAAATGGCTGTAATTCCTAAATGGTAAATTCTGTATATTTGTGGAACCTCTTAAAATAAAGCTGAAAGTCTACACTTCGATCACATCTTGATTGTTTTATTTCAAATTCATTGTGGTGGTGTATAAAGGCAAAATCACAAAAACTCTGTCATTGTTTAAATACTTCCGGACCTAACTGTAGATCTTTCCAGGACTATCAATCAAACAAAAGCAAGAGGTTTAAACAGATTTCATTTCCCACTCTTTCATGATCCGCCGGGGTTATTGTGCATGCACGGGCTTCTGATTGCACGTGGCTGAATAATAGCTTCCCTTGACTTTTCATTTTGATCTTCTTGTTGATTCAGTCGTATCTGAGGGCTCTGTTTGATATCACTCATAGACGTATGTGTAATGTTGACTCAGCTTGTCATGACTTGTGAACAGCTCTGATCCTGTCTGCGTGATCTGCCGTGTGTGCTGGTTTGATTTTTAATCCTTTTTAAGCCTTTACGTTTACTGTTTGTGCATCAGCAAACTCAGTTTACAGAGTTTTCTTTACAGTGTTGCATGTTTTCCGATAGAGTCTGTTAGTCACTCTGGATAAGGGTGTCTGCCAAATGCTGTAAATAAAATGTAAATGTACACACAACCACACAAACAACCATCTCACTATCATGGCTCCATCACTGCTATAATGCGAAGGTCTAGTACCCAAATAATAGCTGTTCAGTGGGGGTCCTATGATGGTCACTAATGGACTAGGTAGGCCGACAAAAAAGCAGCAAATGGGTTACAGTAAGTAATTTTATACTTACGGAGTCCATGTATATGCTATGTGAAACTGATAAAATTAAACTAAGTGTGTGCTAACCAATGTGTATATAGGTTTCAGGCTGAAGCCAGTGGTGTTATTGCGAGGTCTCTAATTTTAGACCTTGGATTTAAGCATAAGACATAAATATTGTCATTTCCTGAGTAAGGGGAAACAAACTCAACTTGTATTAAACACGAAAAAAAAATTATTTAAAATAAGTAACTTGTGGAGAATATGAAAGGATTGAATTCTGTCAATTGTATGTTCACGACTGTATTTTGGTACTCTTCTGTGCACTTTGACATACCATAAACTATGCAAAAATCTTTTTTTATTTAAAAAAAATTCTTTGGGTCCCTGGAGGACTAGTGGTTAAGCCACAGTGCTCTCATCGCTGCGGTCTGAGTTCGCTTCCCAGCCAGGGAATCAACCCCAGTGGCTAGGGTTGCGTGCAGCGGTGCGCTCTCAGTGCCAGTCCCAAGCCCAGATAAATATTGGGGAGGGATGGGTCAGGGCAAATAATACGTAGACCAATGATGCGCTGTGGCAACCCCTAATGGGAGCAGCCAAAAGAGGAACAACAACATTTAAAAAAAAAAAAATCATTAGGTCCTTTGCATTTTCTCTTTATTTTAGAGTGAATTACTGACAAATGGGTGCTTGGATATAAAGGCTACTACACATCAGAGATTCACATATGTTTAACATATGTGCATTGATCAAAAACAATAATATATTTTGTACTTATATGTGTGTGGACTCCTGGGAGAACTACATATGTATCTCAGCACCCAGACATTGTCATAAGCCTAGCATAATCACAACACTGACTGCTACCTGCAATGTTGAATTTACACATGTATGCAGTAAATAAAGAAATCAGGTCACCTGTTCTAAGCACAGTAAATATCTAGCATCCCCATTTCAACTCAGTATATGTAAAAGACTCTGCTATGAAAACAGTGAGTAGACTGTTGAATGCTACAGTTGAATGCTATAATTGAATGCAAACAATGGCTCCAATATTTTCAAGCATGTTTGATTTTCTTGGCGATTAATCACGCAGTGTGAACCCCTGCAACTAAAAGCAAATAGAATTCATCTGTAGTCATGCACAGTGGATCCCTGAATCCAAATCTAGTATCGTCCATCTATTTCTGTGGCAGGACAAAGACATAAAAGTACAGTAATATTGCATTTATCAGAAATTATTAGACACGTCAAACCTAAATGGTCGTTAGGAACAGGAAAAATAAAAAGACATGGCATGATTCCTTGTAATAAAAATAGCTACTTTTTTTGCACTGTACCTCCCATTCTCTTTGCAGAACAGACAGTCATCACTGCCCATGTGCCCCTAACCAATATTTCTCTTATCTGAACAAAATAGTTGCAAATAGTTGCAAATGCAAAGTCACATGATGGAGAGCTCTCGCATTTATTTTCACGAGAAAGTGAGATTTAGAGATCAGGTGGGTCAGAAGGGATAGGGGTGAACAGATGACTGTTTATGTTTATAACAATAAAGCATGAAATACATTTATATTGCAGTTACTGAAGTGTTGGAGTAGGCGACATTGCATCAGCTATTAGTTCTGCAATAGGTAGGTGAGACAGCACTTGAGGAGCTGATGTGATTAGTAATTTTTATTTTTAATACTTACTGAGTAATTACTCAGTATTGATAAGTAATTAATAGTAGTGACTTGGGTGTTAATGTAGTTCTACTCATTCATTCTTGCTTATTTCCTGCATAGGTATCTATGAGTTATTGAACATTGTAATGTTACTATTTTTCCTAATGAACACTTTTTTTTTAATTTCATCTATTCTTTCTTTAGTAATAATTCATCCCAGGCAGCCCCACTGAGATTAAAAGCCTTGACCAGGATAGTCACATCTACCAACTGGCAGAACAAAGTAAACACTATTAGCACATAAATCAGATGTTAGTTTTGGGAAATGTGGCTCAGGGTTACAACTTAATCTGGATTTCTAATCTGGTTTGCTGGTTTTTTTTTTTTGTTGTTTTGTTTTATTTGAAGACCTTTGTTGAAAGATTCAGGAGGTTTTCAGGTTAAATCGATGACGTTACATCAAGTAAAGCTGTACATGTATAGCAACTGTTAAAGGAAAAACCATCCCTGTATCACGTGCATATCAATATTTATAATTGAAATTTGATCTTAAATTGTGCAAAAAAGAGAGAGAATAAATTCTGAAAATTGTGAGTGAGAAAAGAAGCTCTTGCGCTTTTGTTTTTAGGAGCTAACAGAAAAATCTGACCATTATCTCTTAGGTTTGAGATCATGGAGAATTTTCTCCTATTAAACACCATTGTATCTACACTAGCAGTGTCCCCCTGTGACATTCAGCACAGCACCCAACCGCTAACTTCTCATGGGAATAATGAAAATATAGCACCAATCAACAAATTAGCAGCAGAATCGCTGAGCACATCACAAATATTTTAATATATAAAGATATTTAATGTGTTTCAGTGTGGAATTTCCCTTTAATAGGTTAATAAGGAATAGTGATAACCATTACATTTGCTGTTTGGTTTTCATAATTGTCCCAGGATGAAGTTTGAGATGTCACTGGGACTTCAGAAAACATACATATGATTCATTTTATTTGGGGCCTTAAAGCAGTACTACAAATCACCCTGTGAATAGTGGAAACACATGACTTGGACCTACAAAAAAAAATTGTTTTTTTTCCTATTATGACATAAGAGCTTAAAATTTATGCAAGATTTTAAAAAAAAATACCAATGTAGTTCCAAAATTCTAATGCAAAGACACTACAGAGATATTTTAAAAACCTGTGGCATTTCTTTTAATGAGCACACAAATGACTTAACATGACCCACGGCTTTCTTTTACCTCGCACGCATTTTTCAAGGATTCGCCTTTACAAAAGTGCACACATTCATGCTCTCTCACACATATGTGCATGTATTGAGAAACACACACATTCACATACACACACACACACACACTTGCATAGCCTTGTGGCCAGCATATGAATATTTAACAGTAGCTGCTCTCCGAGCGCGCCAGTCGTTGCCAAATAGAACTTAATCTTTTCAATTTTGGGGTGCAAATATTCACACTGGCTGCTGTTTGTCTGGCCCATTAATGAGCCGCTATCCCATAATCCTCGGCGGCTAATTCAAGTGGCTGCTGGGGCAGACGGCCAGTAGAGAATGAGGTGCAGCCTTCCATACACAGGCCAGATTATACACACTCTCTCTCTAGCACTCTATCTCACAAGCACATTTTTTCTCACTCCGACTTCGATTTTTTTTCTCACACTCTCACTTTCCTGCTCATTTTAGTCTCTTACTGATCTTCAGTTTTCCAGCCCATCTAACCATTCCAGCTAATATTTCTATACCATTATCCTTCGCTATGTCCCATAATTCTCTTTAACCTCTCTTACACATTACAATGGGTTCAAATAAAATTTTATCAGTGTATATTTCTCAAACTGGATTCCATCATTCTTTACTAATATAAGCCCAGAAAAGTGTGTTCCTACTGACTGAAAGCACTAACTGACACACAACGGTACTAACTTATTCAATATCAGCTGTGAGTTGTTATAGCATCCCTCAATATATTATCATATGCATGTAAAATCATTTTTAAAGGAAAACTCCTTCCTGAAACACGTGAAGAATGTTTATATTGAAATACTTGTGATGCACTTATTTGTTGGAAGTTGCTGTATTTTCATTATTCTTGTGAGAAGTTAGTGGTGGTGTGCCACAATGATGTCACGGGGGACACTTTCATGCACATTTATACACATTTATATATAATACACATTTATAGTGGTATTAAATAGGAGGGAAATTTTCATCATTCTCAAATCCAGTGCAGGATTTCTGAAGTTAATTCCTCTGGTGCTGCTATCAGCAGGTAGTCAAACTGCATTGTTGGTATTGTAGGAAACTGTTAACTAAAGTGAAAATAAGCCAATGTGCCAATTAAAAAAAAAAAACATTTAAAACAAACAAAAAAAATATGTCAACTCAGAATTTCTTTATAAAATAAATCTTTTGCACCACCGAAGATGACATATTGATAATAAATGTTAATATGCAAGTCGTTCGGGATGGCGTTTTACGCCCTCATTAAAAGCGCTAGGATCTATGAATATATATACAGTACTGTGCAAAAGTTTCAGGCACATGGAAAGGAATTCTGTCAAAGAAAGGTACCTTGAACACTGCATCAGTTCTCTTAGGTGCTGTCATGTAAGCAAGACTTTGGCTTGCTTCTGTTTCTGCAGGTAATGTCAGACAGCTCGCATTATATCTTTGCCTAAAAAGTGATCTGGGTTTATTTCATCAATGACATACAACCATATGTTCATTTTTGGAAATGCATGTTAGTTTTGGGAAATGTGGTTCAGGTTTTTAACGACTTGATCTGGATATCTAATCTGGCTTGCTGTTTGTTGACAGAGTCGGGAGGTTTTCAGGTTAAACTGACATTACCTCAAGTAAAGCTGTACAAGAATAGCGATTGTTCAAAAACCCTCCCTGAATGACGTGCATATCAATATTTATAATAGAAATTTGATCTTAAATTGTACCAAAAAAAAAATTATGAATAAATTCTGAAAATCGTGAGTGAGAAAAGAAGCTGTTGCGCTTTTGTTTTTAGGAGCTAACAGAAAAATCCGCCTGTTATCCATTAGGTTTGAGATAATTAAAAAAAAAAAATTCCTATTAGCCAGCATTGTTACTACGCTAGCAGTGTCCCCCTGTGACATCAGCACCGCACACAACCGCTAACTTCTCATGGGAATAACAAAGATGTAGCACCGACCCACAAATTAGCACCAGAATGTTTTGGAAGACCTTTGCTGAAACACAGACCCATATGACATACGAGCATATGTTCACTTCTGGAAATCCGAAATTTGCTTTTCTCCTCAAACAACTAACACAATATCAAAACATTTGAGGCAAAATTTGTATATGAATGAGAGTGCCTAAGATTTCTGCTGTCATGAAATCCTCTCAGCGCAACGAGTGCTGTTCACGTTTTGCTTTGATTTCTCTCCATATGCTTTTTTTGTTCATTTTCCATGTACCCTTGTATTGATTTATGTCTTGACTCTGCCCTGACTTGTCATTGGTGCATTTTTCTCATTGTGTCCAGGTCTTCGGAGTACATTCCTTGATTCATTTGTTTATTTATACGTCTCAGCGTAACGATTTGTCAATGTTATCTTGAGTTTCTGAGCCTTGTTTACCCTTGTCTCCTTGTTCCTAGTTAAACTTCCTGGTTTGATCCATGCCTGTTTTTGTGTTTATACACTGCCCTCCAAAAGTTTGGAAACGCCTGAACAAAATAGGGTTTTGGGGCAATATCAGCATAAATCCTCTTTAGTTAGTGACCATTTTG